CAGATGATAGTATGACACAGACTTACATCCAGCGAGGGCTCCGGCATGTCGGGTGCTCCCTGTCCACCAGCCTGACCCTCTAAGGCTGAGGAGGGATTAAAGGTCAGGTCACTGTGTGGATGGTTGCTAGAAGCGGCCGGGGGTGGCTGCCGGGACTGCTGGGTAGGAGGCCCGCTGTGATGTAATGGCTGCCCTGACTGGCTGCTGGGGTGAGGGACGTGCAAACCTTGCTGCATGGAAGTATGGGACTGATCAGTGCTGCCAGGATGAGGGATCTGCGGAGGAGGAAAAAAGCAGGAAAAGAAAGTGAGGCCACAAGGTACAGTGCTCACCATGCCTGACTCTGTAACCACATGTTACAAAAAGAAATAACTTAAATTTTAAAAAGACGCACACAACAAAAAAGAAACAAACCAACAAAAAGAAACTAAAAAGTGCAATTGGAAAAGGAATCTCCATATCCCAGTGCCAGAGGAAGTGTTTCAGCTTTCTGAAATATCTACATGGGGAGATAAACACATTGGATTTGTGCTGTTGGTTAGCTTCCTTGTGATGTAGGAAACCGTGCTTGAAGATGTGAAATAAACCCCAAAGAGGAGAGAAGGAGGCTTATGGGTGCTGCTCAGCATTAGCGAGACAGATGCTTTTGCTCTAAAAAATTCCATGACTGAATAGAGAATTTGCTGAATAACGATCCTTGCACCAGGAAACCAATAACCAAGACAACGCATCATTTCTCCTCAGCTCTGTTACTGGGTAGCTTTGTTACACTGCTGCCTATTCATGTTTCAGCTCCTTACAAACGTCTTGCAAACACCAGCCCTTCCCCACTCCTCCCCTTCTTTTCTTTTTGGAATGAAACGCCACTTTTAAGGGCTGAAGATTTTCCTTGAGGATATTCGTGGGTTCTAATGGCTGATGAGAGACAGTCAAAATAGCTCAGCTAGTGAGCTCCCCGCCCACCCATCAGCAGAGCTGCTGTTGGTGGCTGTGCACCTGCTGACTGGGAAGTACAACCCATTAGCTTACACTACGCTAACGATTACACTTTTGTTTTGTATTCACGCTATGGTTAAGTTCTCCAGCAAAAGCTTAGTCATTTTATGTTTTCTGTGGGGAATATGCTATCAAACCATATGCATCTTCCAAACCCTATTATGCAAGAACAGAGGAAAAGTCTTTCTCACATGACAGAGAAGCAACTAAAATGCACAAGCCCAATTTTTCTTTCTGCTGCATGTCATGTGTAATGCTAGTGGATCCTTTGAGGCTTGACCTTGGTGCCATGAGAAAGCAGTGTCTGAATGCTTCAGAATTAGAAGTCTCATGTTAGTTGGGTATATGGACAAGCAAAAAATGTAAACATTTTTTGAGGAATGCTACATATTGCCACAAAGTGGAGCTGAAATAAAAGAACAGATACATACAACAACAGCATGGAATTCATCCAGCCAAGCCAACAGAAACCAGCAAAATGCACAGCACAGCATTGAGCCTTTCATACCACAATAAACTGTAAGGTTATTTTAACCTTAGTCTTCAGTTTCAGAAAGCAAAAGGGAGGTTATTACAAGACTTAATTAAAATTGTCCCAGAGAATTAAAAAATTACAGAAAAGAAGCATTTAAAAAAAATATTTTATCACTCTTACGAAAACTGAAACCTGAATTCAATCCCCTAAATCCCCCTGGGACAGTCATACTCAGCTACAGAGAGGTCCTTTTCAATACTTCAGCAGTCTGAAAGTTGGTGGAAATGAGCAGGACTCCACCAGCAACACTGCATTTGGGCCTCTTTCCCACAGGAGAGTTTAAAGTAACTGTTAAAAAGTACTGATACACACTCTTTTCTCTACTAGGGTTACAGCTTGACTACTCTAAAAGTATTCTGCAGCATTACTGTTGTTACATTAGGGGTAAACTTGTACAAAATCTGCCCACAGTTCACACCTTAATGTAAATGAATATGTAACCTAAAAACTTTGCAAAAGTCCAAGTGAAAGTAGATGTCTACCCAGATAGTACCATTTCCTTCACTCATGGAGGACACATGCAATAGAAAGTGTGGAAATTAGTAAAGCTTAATAATAATAGAAAGTCAAAAGTAATTTAAGACAATGTTGCTAGTGTGGGAAAGCAGTTTCCAGAAGCAAAACAAAACAGGATTATCTTGAATAATTTTTTAGGTTTGTCCCTGAATGCACAAAGTAGGAGTCATGTTGACAAGTTTATATCAATAATTATTTAAATCAAGAGGCATGAATACATACTCAGACACATTTCAAAATAATTAAGCAGGTTATAAATGCTACATTATGCTTATTAGGCAACCTTTTTAAACATATTTATAAATAATTAGTTGATAAGGCAGTATTTTGGGGCCTGCGATATCCATTGGATAGGGAGTCACTGTTCCTTGCAAGACTGAGGGCCACCATAACCTTAAACTGCCATCACAGATTCAAAATCCGTCTGACTTAGGCCACAGACTCCACTAGCCTACCTGTGAGAAAGCAAAACAGGACCTCAGCACTTCACTATCCGCTTTCAGCTAACTAATGCTGTTAGCTGTGGTGCAGGAACATTCTAAGCGATACACTTTGTGCGTGTTCAGCTTGCGCCAGCAACTCCCACTGTTTTATTTTAAAAATGTTAACCCACAGTATGAACCCAGGGTCTAACAATGCTGCCTTTGCTACCACAGCAAGTAACTCCACAGGCGGTTTTAAATGCATAAACTTTAGCAGTCTTAAAATATTTACAATCTATAAAAGAAAAGCTCATAACAGACTACTACATCTTCAGCTTAATAGCACAACACAATTCTTTACAAGCCCAACAGTGACCTCTAGGAGTGCTGAGATGTATAGCTGTAGAGCAACGGGACCTGCCAGCTGCAGAACAATATTCCTTTCATCTCAGGAGAAAAGTGATAGTGAAAAAACAGATCAGCAGATTAAGCTGATGGTTTGTATTTCTCTGCATTACTGGGGTTGCAGTTTTTCCAACTCTGGTGCTGGGTTAGCTGGCAGAACCACTCAAAGATGCCACTATCTTGCCCTGCTACTGTTCTCGGCCACTTTTCCCATCCGTGCTCTTTGCCATCAGGTGCATCCTTGCAGATGTGCAGTGAAAACTGAGGAACAGACATGGATCAAAGCTAAACTTCCCCCTTGACCCTGAATCAGTTTTCAATCATATCAGTGTCCAGACCCAGATCACTTCAATGGCTGAAATAACACTTATGCTGGTGTGAGAGAGCGGAAAAGCAAAAACAGAAACAAGAGCAAAGACTTTACAGTGGCACCAGCTCTTATCACCTCGCCGTGTTTATGAAGCGTGGAGTGATTATCCATTGCTCGGTCATGAACCACTCCTTACACTGTCTGCAATAAGCACTAAGCTAGACTCAACTCTGAGTTCAACTTGGTCTAAAAACCTGTTTACAATTTATGAAAACAAACATGACATGATTTGTAGCAGCCATTCTATAGCAATCTTGCACCAATACAGAAGCATCTGTTCTCCTGTTCTCAGAACAGAAGAGGTATTATTTCTAGCCGCGTTTCAGGTCTTGATTTTTAATTCTTCCACATGAGTGGAACAGCAGTGCTGAAAGAAGGTAGTTCTGGTTACCCAGCCCCACCTACACTGGACAAACACACCTGCATTTCCTGGAGTGACTTACAGAGTATGCCTGGAGGAATCAACTTTCTGTGCCTACCATTATACACATAAATCTTCGTAACAGGAAAATTAGGAACTTCTAGTTGGAGATGTCCCTGCTTATTGCAGGGGGCTTGGACTAGATGACTTTTGGAGGTCTCTCAGCTGCATTTAGCTTCAGTTAGAGACCTTGTGTTTAAAAGGACCAAGCAGCTGATTCTGACTCACCTTGGAAACACAAAATGGTCAGTGATAGTAGATGGAAACAAAACACACCTTGAATGTGTAAAAAGGAAAGACAAAGCCAGGCAAGAGCACAGGCACCTTAAAACCTTAGTTCAATTTCACGGTGTGGTTTATAGTTATTTTTGTACAGAGATGTCTGTCCAAAGACATTCAGTTGCACTTATTCAGGAATGTGTTAATGGCATGCATTTCTCTAAAAGCATTAAAGCTGCTTTTCCCAAGTGTCTGCTGCAGACAAACAGTTCATTTCTGAGTGAGAATAAAGGAAGCAGGAGAAGAAGTTAGAAAAGAAAGCAGAAACTTGGTAATACTGGAAAAGCTGTGTGGCAACACTAACAGTCCTCAAATGTGGCCTGAAGACTACAAGGCTACACTGACAAAGTCAATCTCACTCCCTTGTGTTGTCAGATCTACACACTGATTCTCATTGAAGAAAATCAGCCATTGACATCAATTAGGTGGAACCTGCTTTAGCATTCCTTCACGTTCTAAACAGTATAGCTTGCATATCATGACAGATGAGGGAGAAGTGAGGCTTTACTTTCCCATGGATGGGAAAAAGGATTTACTTTAATTGTCAGCTATTATAAGCAAGTATCAGATTTGCTACAGACTGGCCCACAGAACCAAAAGTTTATTAACATTTGCCCGTATACCCTCTTACAGCTCTGGAAGACACATAACCTTGAGCAACTTTCACCTTTGCCATCATCTGTAAGCAGTCCCATTTTCAGAAAGCTACAGATTTTTCACATTGATACTCAACCATTTCCTATCCTACCACTTCAGAAATTTCACTGGGGCAACTACTACAGCAAAGGTATAGCAGTAAACTGATGAAGTCAAGAGGTAGGTGTCAGCTAATGGAAAGCAAAGAATATGACTCCCTGTGACTTTGATGCAAAGGAAAGCAGCTGTGACTGGTTCAGGTTGGTAATTTTTCTCCTTACTCCTATATTCTAGTACTGTATGGTTGGTTCTGATGAAGATAATTGAGCCTGCTTGTTAAGCTGAGTATTTAGAATTTTCCAACATAAAATTAAGTTTACAGCATGTCTGTTCTGTCCTTTATTAGTCTTTATGGTTTCTGGACTCCTCTTCTGCACACAGTCCTGTTACTTGGGCTCTCTCCAAGCCATACTAAGAACTCTCTCCATTCTCTTTCTATTTCTCACCATCCTCCTTGGAAAACCCACCACCAGCTAGAGAAGACACTGGCTCAGTAGGCTTTTGCTGAGCATCTGCTACCACATTTCGTCACTGCAGTCTGAAATTGTACTTTCTAGTATTCACTGAGGACATGGCACAGATGACTTGTCAAGTTAAAGATCCTTCCTGTGCAGAAACAGCACAATATAAAGCCCCTGCCCTGTCACTGAAATGAACATAAAAGGATGTATACACATGCCATCCACACCCAGTTAAAACAGATGACTGGCCATGCCTAAGCTAAATGCGGTTGGTATTTTTTTTATCACCTAGCTGCTGCAGTACTGTGTTTCCTGGAGACATATGATGTTCTGCATGTAAAACTCACTGCTCTGAGCAAGCTGCTTTTCCAATGCATAGTTATGCCCTTCAGTGTGAGACCTGAGGAACCTCCTTGGTTTTTTAGTCTCTTACACTGATACACTCTCAGACCAGTGACAGTGTCTGTCCTTGAAATCTACAGGCTTGTCCTGTTCCCAACAGCTTAAAGGTGCCTTTCATGCTACTTGGGTAGAATTCCCCCTCAAAATGCTTTGATGCAAATTTTGCCCTCAGGGACAAAGCCAGGGAAGATATTGTCTCTGCTCTGAGGTTACTCCATGTCTTCCTATAACAAGCTGTCTGCTGAAGAAGTATATTCACAGACCTTGCTGGCCTAGGGAACGAAGTCCAGTTTTTTTCATGTGTCAGAGCAAAGCACTATGATTAATACAAGTACACAGAGCTGGGTTGTCTGTTTCAGATAAACAAGCTTCAATTCAAAAAGCTCAGGAATGCTTCTCCAAAAACTTGAAAAGGAAACTAAAAATGGCATTTTTGGCATTTCTCAGGACTACTCCATTTCACAAACTTACAAAGTAAGGAATCCACAAAAAGTGCGAGCAGTTCACAAGGCAAGTCCGTTAGCTGGATGAGAGCTTCTTACCCCCATAAAGGAAAATCTACATCCACAGCACTGTTACTTACAGATTCCTGCATGGGGTGACTGAGAGGTTTGTCGAGAGCTGCCATGCCGCTCGGCATGTCGGGGGGATGTGACAGCTGTGGCCCATGCATGAAGTCATTCATAGACGTGCCACCAGGATTCCCATGAGGGAAGTCAAAATTGCCATGACCTTGGTAACTGTTGCCTAAAAGAGAAACAGATGCGATATGAAAGACAATATTCGTTCCCCATCATTGATTAGTGAGAATATCTTGTAAAAGCTGCATGGCACTGCACCCTCCCTGCACGGCACAGGGCAACTGCCACGCTGGGCGTGACAACACCGTGCTCCCCACTGCTGAAGGGAGCTCAGGAACATGTCAGCGCCGAGCCTTCAAATAGTGGCTGCCATTAAAATTCATGTACATATTGTAATTAACTGAAAACCCCTGACGTTTTGAACAACCACTCTCAAGTCACCCCATAACAAAGTCAAGAAGTGAAAGAGATATTATGTTCTATGGAATATTTGCATCTGGAAGCATCTCAGTGCAACTGAGAGTGACTACCCAAGCCCAGAGTTATTCAGAGGACACCTGTGTTATTTATGTCTATGCTTCCATGCGCTCACTGAGACTCTAGCATTGCTTAAGTTTCTGATGAAGCCAACTGACAGAACTGTATCAGGAAGATGCTGCAGCACCAATTCATTGCACAGCCTCTATTTTATCTCTTCTTCTGCAGTATAAACAGGCACCTTCCATTAAGAGTGCAGAAGAGGCCTTCACGTCTAATTGGGGTTTGTGATTTAATTCTCCTTTCTCCCACAAAAACTAATAAAATTCACTTGACTGTCTGCAAATACAACATGGATTTCCCCCTCCTGGATCTATTAATTTTCAGAGTTACACTGTCTGCCTGTAGCCTGAGTTTCAGCATGTGGATATGCAAGCTCATAATGAAAAACTAGTGTATTTATGAAATCTACCTAAAAAGCCTGAAACACTGTTCTCTGAAGCAGCTAAATTTCACAGCAATTTGGAATACACCATCTGGATTTATCAATTCCCAGCCCCCATCTACCATCTAGCAACAAGCCTGGAGTCCCCTGCTAATCTGCAGGACAAGCACTGTATGATCACTGCCAGTATGTTTAGATCCATCCTACCTCAGCCCAGTGATCTTTGCTTCAATTCTAAAGTGAGTATGCATCTCCATACAGGGATTTTAGTCTCCGTATTTTTTTTTGTCCAGTTCCCTCTGTTAACACTTCCAACTGAGATACCAACTCTGGTGGTTTATTTGCAACAAGCAGCAAAAATTGCACTAAGGCTACTCAGCTATTTCATGGAAGCAACTGAACTGGATGATACTGAACTCTGAAATAACAGAATAGCTTTGGAGCTTGCTTGGAAAGCCTGCAGTTCGTCAGCTGAAGTACAGCAGCTTTAAATGTTCCAAGTCAAGAAGGGCGTTTGACAAACTGAAGTAGCTGCATCATTTGCTCTTCAGCACAGCTTCAGAGGCAGAAGTTTAATCTCAGAGGAAGTCATTAACCATGTAAGAGTATTCCTCCAAAAAGTCAGGACTTTGATCTATCATGTAAATGCTGCAGAGACTTACTAATTCTCATTTTGTTAATCTGCAAACGGGATGACTCTCACAGAATACAGCTGGTATTGCCTTGCTTCTCAGGAACGATTTAATAGCAGGGAGCTGGAATAAGGTCTTGTATTACTGAGTACTGCTACATTTGCAAACTAAACTTCAGTATGCTTACTGTCAAACCCAAATAAACAAACACAAACCACAGTAGTAATACTATTACTATCACTTTGCTCTAGAGCATTGCTACTCATAGGACACGGCCTAATTCTAAACACTAAGTTTCAGCGCACGTGTTGGCATCTCCATCACCGAAGATGTAAGGCAGCCCAGCGAGTTACAGCTATGCAGCAGCATGCCCTTCTCTGGGGCAGGAACTGTGCCAAATGCTGAGGGACAGACCTATAAAGGCATTTAGGATCATCTGGTGCTCTGCACTGACATGCCTATCGCAGAGGAAATAGTGTTGGTTTCATCTGCCCATGATGAGTCAGGGCTCTGAGAAGCTATGACCACCTCTGCTAAAGGATCCACAGGGGAAGGCAAGGAAATAACAGTCTAGGCAGCAATTGTTACACAAACCCTAAATCCCACTTTATGTGGCTTCCCTGTCCCTTCCCAATTACAAGCTAGAAAGATGATGAAGTACAAATAGATGGCTCCTATCTCACGCTCCTGACTGCACTTCACTCCTAATACACAAGTGACAAATTTGTGACTCAGGGCTCTTCTGTTATAGTAATCATTCATCTGTTTGAAAACCTAAAAAGTTCTATCATTTGTCACCAGTTCTGCAGTCATTGGAGCAAGTAACCATATTTTTGCATGCAATCTATATCTTTCCTCCAACACATGCAAAAAGCACACATATCACCTTGTAATCAGTTTGGGGATTCTGATGGTGTGAACAGTTGGTCTTCTCCCAGAGCTGAACTGAGTCATGTCATATTACAATGAGTTATTCACAATGTGTCAGTCATTTGAAAACTTATCTCCACTGCCTGTACTTGGTTCCCCCATTTCTCAATCTGGCAGCACATGAGTAGAGGAACTCAAAGTAGTTTCCTAATTCAAGGGTGTTTGCAAAGCAGTTAAAGCTCTTTAAAAGTCATTCACTTTCCTGCTGGTCTACCAAACAGCACCCACCTGGCCACAAGTTAAACCTAGTGGCCCAAGCAGCAGGGTGAACGAGTCAGCCTCTCTGCTTTGTAACTCCTGTAGCACTAGGAGCCCGCACTTCAATGAGAATGAAAGAGAAGGAAAATGTACAGAAAAAATCAGGGAATATGTATATCATGGTGGGCCATGAATATACAAGGTAACATATAACGTTTGTCGACTTCGAAGGGGCTGCATAGCAATAAATATGACAAACACCAATTTCCTTACTAAAACATGTTTTTCCTCTAAAAAGATGAATCTTAAATTAAAAGACAGTATTTTAGAATTGCAGCCACATAATTTGCTTTCCTTATGCATCCCTCTGAGAAGGGGCACTGACACAGCTGCATCATAAAGCTGACTGAACCACTGACTTGTGTGCAACTGGGTGGTGCACAAAGCTTTAAAACGAACCTTGGTTACCGTATTCGGTGGAGTTGTTGCCTCCTGGAGGAGGGGGTAGGGACGGGTAAGGTGATGGGCCAGGACCCAAAGCTGCAATCATCTCCATCACATTTGGCATGATCATCTGGCTTGGACTCATGGTCTTAAATCTTTTTGAGGGAATGCCATCTGGGTCATCTTTGATGTGAATGTCTGACTTTATAGGAACTGGCCTCCAACTGCAAGTTGGATCAATGGTAACTTCTTCAAACTCTGAGCTGTAAAATAATGTGAAAATTTTAGCACATTAATTGATTTTATTTCTTTTAA